TAATAAGACTGTAAGTATCATAGCATCGCTGTATAAATCCATGGTATGCACACACCTTCAATACTGTGTACAATTTTGGGAGCCCCATCTCAAAAAAGATATATTAAAATTGGAAAAGGCACAGAGAAGAGCAGCACAAAAAATTAGGGGTATGGAACAGCTTTCGTATGAGGAGAGATGGGGAAAAAAAGACTGTTCGGTTTGGAAAAGAGATGATTAAGGGGGGACACGATGGAAATCTATAAAGTCATGAATACTGTGGAGAAAGTGAATGAGGAAGTGTTATTTACTCCTTCACATACCATAAGAACCCGGGGTCACCTGATGAAATTAATAGGCATCAGGTTTAAAACAAACATAAAGAAGTACTTCTTCAAACAATGCAAGACAACCTGTGGAACTTGTTGCCTAGGGATGTTGTAAAGGTCAAAAGTATATAACTGGGTTTAAAAAAGAATTAAATAAGTTCATGGAGGATGGCCTCTGACTGCCAGAAGTTGGGAGTGGATGACAGGGGATGGATCACTCAATAATTGCCCTGTTCTGTTCATTCCCTCTAAAGCATCTGGAATTAGCCACTGTTGGAAAACAGGACACTGGGCTTATTGGTCGGACGCAGTATGGCCGTGCTTATGTTTTTATGTTTAGGTGCCAAATGTCCAATTACAAGACATTGAATTTAAACACTTATGAGATATCCGGAGTTCTGAAGTGGTTTTCATAAATGGATGAAACTGCTTTGTATGCAAAAAAATAGGGTTTGCCATTGAGGATATAAATAGATATTCATGTAAAATAGTCTCCTCCCTTTTCCATTGTGTATTTATGCTCAAATGGCAACATGTAGAGGGGGTTATTTGAGTTAAGATGCTGAAGCGTTCTTGAAAGGGCTGTGTAAAGTCTGATGGAATTTTCCTCTCATGCCTCATGTATTTAATTTGTGGTTTTTCTCTGTTTTTTCTTTCTTTCATTGTATACTCACTTCTCTCTTGACGGGTAAATGCCAATATGTACGTGTGTGCCATTTGAGGCTCTGTAACTTGAAAGATTGCTTTTCTTTTTCCCTGTATTTCCAATCACTGTATTATCATTTCAGTGAAAGTCATTATGGATGTGTATGTAGCTGTATAAATAAATACTCACACTGTGTAAATGCATACTATTAAATCCACTGGTAAATAATTCAAAACATATTATGGCGATCTGGATCAAAAGTATTATTAAAACGCCTTTCTAACCTCTATCAGCCAAATGAATGAAAAGGCCTACACAGAGATAGGAGCAGAGAGGACAAAATACGCTAGGGGAAGGAAGGAAAATTCCATTAGAGTTCACACAGCTGTGGGAAAGGACGTATTGGCATCAAATGGTGTGGGATCATAGGTCTCAAATCCAGGTCCTATACAGTCCTTAGATCACAACCCAGCAGCTCACAGGGAGTGAGCAGGGAGTGTAAGCTAGTGGACCTTAGCTCAGGATAGGCACCACCCAGGAAGCTCCCAACTGGAGGAGATGTCCAGCTCCTCTGATTGGCTCAGACTCACTATTTAAGCCAAAAGGAGGCACAGAAAGTTGCCCAAACAACTAGGTGAATCTCTGGCTGGCTGCTATGTTGGACCCTGCCTTTTAACCTGCCTCCTGATCATCTGCCTTCTTCCTGATCCCTGTTTCTGTGCCCCACTCCTGTCTATCGACTCTGGTTCTGACCCTTGGCTTGATGCCTGACCCTGATTCTGGCAATGCCAATGATTCAGAGGGAATGAACAGAACAGGGCAATTATCGAGTGATCCATCCCCTGTCATCCAGTCCTAGAATCTGGCATTTAGAGGCTTAGAGACACTCAGAGCATGCGGTTGCAACCCTAAAGATTTTGTCTGATAGCCATTGATAGACCCATCCTCCATGAACTTATCTTATTCTTTTTTGAACCCAGTTATACTTTTGGCCTTCACAGCATCCTCTGGTAATGAGTTCCACAGGTTAACTTTGCATTGTGTGAAGAAATACTTCTTTTTGTTTGTTTTAAACTTGCTGCCTATTAATTTCGAGTGATCCCAGGTTCTTGTGTTATGTGAAGGAGTAAATAATACTTCCTTAATCACTTTCTCCACACCATCCATGATTTTATAGACCTCTGTCATATCCCCCCTTAGTTGTCTCTTTTCCAAACTGAACAGTCTGTCTTCTTTTTATCTCTCCTCATATGAAAGCTGTTCCAGAACCCTAATCTTTTATGTTGCCCTTCTCTATACCTTTTCCAATTCGAATATATCTTTTTTGAGATGGGGCAACCAGAACTGCTCATAGTACTGAGCAGCCCTCTCTTCCACAACAGCCTGCTGGTGACTCCTGCCTCTCCCACCATCCACTCTCCAAGTGGCTCTCAGTTGAGGGAGTAAGTGTTCAGTCACACAGTTGACCCAGAGACTCACTTGAACTATAAATGTTCTCTATGATACCAGGCTCCTCCAGGCTATGCTATCTTTGCTAGGTTAGCCCATTTGGGCCAGAGAGGGCCACCAAGCCCACTTACTCCACTCCTAAGCCCATCTAGCCTCTGCTACTTTCCCCACAGGTAGCTCCCCAGACCGACAGAGTGACAATGTGGAGCCCAGAGTAAAAGGGAGGGGGCAAAGAAGGAACAAGTCTGAAGAGACAACTGCCCCACCGCCTCATGTTGGAGAGAGGAGATCTACACACCTTGGGGCCACCTTCATGTGTGAATCTGGGGACATGAGCTAAACTGGGCCTGATTCTCCCATTTGCAACTTGTGCAGTCACTGACACCTGCATAAGGTGAGTGAAAGACACTGTCAAATCAGAATGGTAGCACTGTGCCCAGGTGCCAATGACTACACTGGGTGCTAGGGAAGGGTAAATCAAGTCCACTGTGCAGTAATGACAGATAAATACTGACTAAAGAATGGCAAACAACACACAACATCTGTGAATAAGTTGGTTTTCCCATCCTCATCAGTACCCAGCCTGTAAATAACTTGAGAGCTGAAATCCATCCTTAGCAGACAGTACTCAGCCAGTTCTGAATTAAAATCACAGTATTTGCATTAAAAAGGAGATCACAAAAATACTCTGGCAAACCTATAGTTTTATTTAAACGATTATCATTTTATAAGTTAAACAGACTGCTGGTATCCTGGGTTTTGTCCTTGATTCCTGTGTGAGATTACAAAAAACTGGAACATACTTAAACATTGCATTTACCAGCGCACGTTCTAATCATTTTTATTCAATATAGCAAACACAGTGGAATTTGCCAGTCACTATAGCAACCTATAGTCACTACAAACATAAATGATTCATAGATATTTAGGTCAGAAGGGACCATTATGATCATCTAGTCTGACCCCCTACACAACGCAGGCCACAGAATTTCACCCACCACTCCTGCAAAAAACCTCTCACCTATGTCCTAGCTATTGAAGTCCTCAGATCGTGGTTTAAAGACTTCAAGGAGCAGAGAATCCTCCAGCAAGTGACCCGTGCCCCATGCTACAGAGGAAGGCGAAAAACCTCCAGGGCCTCTTCCAATCTGCCCTGGAGGAAAATTCCTTCCCGACCCCAAATATGGCGATCAGCTAAACCCTGAGCATATGGGCAAGATTCACCAGCCAGATACTACAGAAAATTCTTTCCTGGGTAACTCAGATCCCACCCCATCTAATATCCCATCACAGGCCAATGAGGCCTTTTTATTTAATTGTGGGGGGATGGTCCTAGTTACTTGCTTTGTCAATGGGACTGTATCTAAGTAATAGGTGGTTAGTTTTATATGCATTACATACACAGTATAAGAGCTACTAAAAGTTTTCTGGGATGGAAACAAGGAATCTCATTTTGAACTATTAAGAAGAGATCTGCCTGCAGTACTTAGCTACCTGAGGTTTGCCATTAGGCCCCAAGCCAGTACTATACACATGTAATTTTACTCAGTTGAAACCAATGGGATTATTGAAATTAGTAAAGTTACTCATGCATGTCAGTAGTTGCAAGACTGAGGCTTTAGTGTTCCTCACTGTAACATAAACAGAAATGAGGTGGATGCTGTCAGGGTTCCCTCCCCACTCTGAACTCTGGGGTACAGATGTGGGGACCCTCATGAAAGACCCCCTAAGTTTATTTCTACCATCTTAGGTTAAAAACTTCCCCAAAGCACAAATCCTTCCCTGTCCTTGGACTGAGGCATGCTGCCACCAAGTGAATTAGACAAAGATTCAGGAAAAGGACCACTTGGAGTTCCTGTTTCCCCAAAATATTCCCCCAAACCTCTTCACCCCCTTTCCTGGGGAGGCTTGAGAATAATCTACCAACCAGATAGGTAAACAAGGTGAGCACAAACCAGACCCTTGGGTTTTTAGGACACTAAAAACCAATCAGATTCTTAAAAAACAGAACTTTATTATAAAGGGAAAAAAAATAAAAGAAACACCTCTGTAAAATCAGGATGGAAGGTAATTTTACAGGGTAATAAGATTTAAAACATAGAGGATTCCCCTCTAGGCAAAACTTCAAAGTTACAAAAAAACAGGGATAAACCTTCCTCTTAGCACAGGGAAAATTCACAAGCTAAAACAATAGATAATCTAACACATTTCCTTACAATTTGTAATCTTAGATGCTTAGTTCAGGTATGGCTTTAGGAGATGTATTTTCCATGCCCTGGTTCCTCGCTGACCGGGAGAGAACACAAAGAAACACAAAACAAAAACCTTCCCCCACAGATTTGAAAGTATCTTCTCCCCTTATTGGTCCTTTTGGTCAGGTGCCAACCAGGTTAGCTGAGCATCTTAGCCCTTTACAGGTAAAGGAGGGATTTTATGCTACCCTTAGCTGTATGTTTATGACAGATGCCTATGTCCATTGTGCACAAATCCACATTTAGGGAATGCACACACAGCAAAATTGGGTGCACCATAAAACTAAGTCATCACTGTTTGCTCTGTACAATCACTAAAGTACTGACCCTTAGCTGACCTGGTTAATCTTTACTAGAGGACACCTTGCTTTCACAAATCTTTTTAGCAGCATAAATAGCAAAGCAAAGTGCTGCACAAGCCTGGTGAACACCACAGGATCCTTGGAATCTGAGGTAAGTAATCATTTTACCATGGGGACTTCAAATGTGTATAACCAGTGTTGCATGCAGTTTATGTTATGCCATTTGATTCACATGGTGGTGCCTTTTGTGATGGCTGGTACAAAGAAATGTGTCTTAAGCAACCATTTCAGGGTGCAATAACCATGATGATATTTAAAATGCACGTAGCGCTTTACCTGATCAGAGCGCTGTAAAAGCACTAATTGACGAATTTTCACAGCAGTTGGGTAAGCAGTTATAGGGTGACAGTAATTTAACAGGGACTTAACACAAAAATGTCCCTTGTAGGCAGTGCTGATCTCTATGAGTGAAATCCTGATCACACTGAGGTCAGGGAAAAGCTGCCACTGATTTTAATGAGGGCAGAAATTAATCTCGTGTCTTGGGGAGGGGGAAGTGCTCAGAGAATGGAGCATTCGGGAACTAGGAAATCTGCTCCTTTGTTTTTCCCTGCTTAGAAATTGCTATCTTATAACCAGAATGAAGGATGGGAAGCAGCACCATCTGGTGAATAAGATTATGCATTTGATGGAGGTGTATCTCCTTTGTGCCTTAGCATATTACTAGTACAGCAGTTTTCACCTTGTGTAGTTTGAGCTGGGAATTCTGGAGAACTTGTAAAGGATGCAGGACGTGTGCTCTACAATGTAGGACTTTTTAAGTAGCCAGTACCTAAACTATTCTACAGAAGATTGTATTCAGGGATGTCTGTTTCTGAATCACAGAGATAAAACCATCTCTAGCACAGGTAAGATAGTGGTATCCAGACAGGGAACAAGTTCCACCAGAGACATGGCATTTACCCCAGCCCTCCTCTCAGTTTGCTGGTGAGATTTTAATAAGGTGGCTCCAGCTAGTCCCAGGGTTTTCTCCAGCACACCGCTGGGGAAGCAAGAGCTGCCATTCTCAGTTGTAAGATCAGCGTGACAGGACAAATGCTGACTTAGGTCAGTCAAACATGATTGCCAAGGTCCATTCAAAGCAAATTGCCCTAAGCACCGCCATCCTCTGAGTCTCAGCATGTTCTTGTGTCATTTGCCCGTTTCAACAGAAAGTTCTGCACGGCAAGAGCCACATCTCCTACAACCCCCAGCACTTTGTCGATGCTTAACACAGAACACGAGGGAAACTGAGGAAGAGAGGGGTGAAGTGATTTCTCTAAGGCTACACAGCAAGTCAGTGCAGACCTGGGACAAGAACTCAGGCACACCTGACTTTGAATCCTGTGTTTATATCCAGGCTAAACTAGACTGAGATCTACTGATGAAAAGCACTATAAAATAGTGAAATATTATTCTAATTTTGTGCAGGTTGCATTGTATTTGCATTTTAAGAAATTGTAAGGAATTGTCTTTGGTAACAGAAACCCAGAGTCATAAAGTATGTGTAGGATATTGTAGTTTGTGCTTTATAACAGATTCGGATTTAAACAGTGTCTCTTGCTAATTATAATTATCTGATCTCCTTGCAAATTGTGAAAGGCAAATACAGCAACCACATCAAATATGAAGTCCAAAGCAATGGCTCCCAGTCTTACTGGGGGTGGGGGTGGGGGGAAAATACTCAAAGCTTGCAGGGCAAAGATTCTATTACAAAGACTATTTCATTGGATATTCCCTTAATCCATGGAGCTTTCAAATCATATTCCTGAATGCATTAAGTGGCTTGCTTCTCACACTGTATACGCCTTAAATAAAATCCCTTTTCAATCAATATATATCCTTGGAACTATCCTTCTTTTATGGGACAAAATGTCAGATTTTAAATGACTGCAGAGGTGTTAATTGCCGACTTTATCTTCAATGATCTCTTGCAACATGTGTTAACTCTTTATGCTTAATAATCTGTTGCACCTTGGATTTAGCTGTGACTCTAATCACCTTTTGCAAACCTGAAGATGAGCTCTGTGCAGCTCAAAAGCTTGTCTATTTTATCAACAGAATTTGGTCCAGTAAAAGATATTACCTCACCCATCTTGTGTCTCTCAGATTCTAAATGATTTTTTTTTTCATTGAAATCAATAGCCATCTTTGCCCCCACCTCTGTTCTTGTCTCAGCTCAATGATAGACTAATAGAGAATCAGAGACAGTGTATCTTAGTGCAGAATTAGGCCCATAATATTGAAAAACTAAATTATAGTCCAAACAATTATATTTGAATTTCTCTTTCTACCCCTAAAGATCAGTCCAGGTTTCCAAACTGCAGGACTTTCGAAGGAATGCCAAACCCTACATTTTAAAATAATTGTAAAATTAAATGAGCATAAAAATTTAAATCTAGTATCTGAAAGTGTTTGAGAAGATCCCACTCATAACATAATCACTAATAGTTCAGGCAAAGCTTGCACCATTCATTGGCCTACAGGAACTTATGCCATAATACAAAATATATGCATGTCTGTTTAACTTGCCTGAAGTGTGTATTTGACCATGCTCATCAGCCATCTGCATAACTATTTCCAATAGGTGGCACTCGACAACATAAGAATAACTTCTCCCAAATGAGAAAACAGATTATAACTGGAAAAAGTTGTGTGGAGAATTTCAACAATTTTTTTTAAAGAAAAAAAGTTATTCTTCCCCAAACATTTTGTCTGAAAACCAACATATTTTATTCAAAAGCAGAAATATTTCTATTTGGAAAGGCTACCACTGTGCATTATGGGAGTTCTAGTTTGAGGGCTTCACTCTCCCATTCTCCTCTATAGGCCAGATTCTCTGATCAGACTACATCTCCCATGATGCACCATGGTCTCCCCTCAAGGTGAGGGAAGGTGGTTGCATTATAAGAGTTCTTAGCCTTGGTACATCATGTGACATGTAGTCAGGCTGGGGAGCCAGGCCCATAAGAGAGAATGTGGATATGAGGAAACTGAATTGAACTCCATATTAATGGGATAAACAGTTTTTGGCAGAAAAAATATTGATTATTAGCTAAAATATTTTGTTTATTCAATGAAAAAAATTATTGGGGGAAAAGCAGGCATCTTTTGAAAATAAATTGTTTAATCTAAACCCATTTTCATGGAAATACAGTTTTGATGGAAAATTTTTGACCAGCCCTAAAACAGAAATAGCAGACTGACCTGGGTCTTCTGTTTAAGAGTATTCAAGAGTATTTCTAGCATAGTTAAGAACACACATTCTGCTGTTATACTTATCCAATGCTTTCGCACAAGAGCCTGATTCTGCAAGGTACTAAATGTCCCATGTCATCCACTGAAATTAGTGACAGGTTTCAGAGTAGCAGCCGTGTTAGTCTGTATCCGCAAAAAGAACAGGAGTACTTGTGGCACCTTAGAGACTAACAAATTTATTAGAGCATTAGCTTTCATGAGCTACAGCTCACTTCATCGGATGCATAGAATGGAACATATAGTAAGATAGATAGATAGATAGATAGATAAACATACAGATAAGTTGGAAGTTACCATACAAACTGTGAGAGGCTAATTAGTTAAGATGAGCTATTATCAGCAGGAGGAAAAAAAACTTTTGTAGTGAATGTTATGATTCCTGATGTCAGATTTGTGTCCATTTATTCTTTTGCGTAGACACTGTCCGGTTTGACCAATGTATATGGCAGAGGGGCATTGCTGGCACATGATGGCATATATCACATTGGTAGATGTGCAGGTGAACAAAGCCCCTGGTGGCGTGGCTAATGTGATTAGGTCCTATGACGGTGTCACTTGAATAAATATGTGGACAGAGTTGGCATCAGGCTTTGTTGCAAGGATAGGTTCCTGGGTTAGTGTTTTTGCTGTGTGGTGTGTAGTTGCTGATGAGTATTTGCTTCAGGTTGGGGGGCTGTCTGTAAGCAAGGACTGGTCTGTCTCCCAGGATCTGTGAGAGTGAGAGATCATTTTTCAGGATAGGTTGTAAATCTTTGATGACACACTGGAGAGGTTTTAGTTGGGGGCTGAAGATGTGCAGGGGCTCGTTCACGTGCACATCTACCAATGTGATATATGCCATTATGTGCCAGCAATGCCCCTCTGCCATGTACTTTGGCCAAACCGGACAGTGTCTACACAAAAGAATAAATGGACACAAATCTGACATCAGGAATCATAACGTTCAAAAACCACAAAAAGAAAAGGAGGACTTGTGGCACCTTAGAGACTAACAGATTTATTTGAGCATAAGCTTTCGTGCATCTGATGAAGTGAGCTGTAGCTCATGAAAGCTCATGCTCAAATAAATTGGTTAGTCTCTAAGGTGCCACAAGTCCTCCTTTTCTTTTTGCGAATACAGACTAAAATGGCTGCTACTCTGAAACCATTCAAAAACTGGTAGGAGAACACTTCAACCTCTCTGGCCACTCAGTAAAAGATTTAAAGGTGGCAATTTTGCAACAGAAAAGCTTCAAAAACAGACTCCAACGAGAAACTGCTGAGCTTGAATTAATATGCAAACTAGATACCATTAACTTGGGTTTGAATAGCGACTGGGAGTGGCTGGGTCATTACATATATTGAATCTATTTCCTTAAGTTAAGTATCTTCACACCTTCTTGTCAACTGTCTAAATGGGCCATCTTGATTATCACTACAAAAGTATTTTTTCTCCTGCTAATAATAGCTCATCTTAACTAATTAGCCTCTCACAGTTTGTATGATAACTGCCAACTTATCTGTATGTATATATAATATATATATATATATATATTACTATATGTTCCATTCTATGCATCCGATGAAGTGAGCTGTAGCTCACGAAAGCTTATGCTTTAATAAATTTGTTAGTCTCTAAGGTGCCACAAGTACTCATGTTCTTTTTACTGAAATCAATGGAATTGAGCACTTTGCACCATCAGGTCCTTAAAATTTATAATGAATGCTTGAAAAATGCCCTAATTTGTAATTCCTTGGGCCTCAGTTTTGTCATGCACTCCATTCAAACACAGGGCTCACTCCTCAAGAGAGTTCATTGCACAGTCAGGCCCCCACTTGCCTTGTCCTTTACAATTCTGATATAGACAGCCTGGGTCTCTACTGTGTTACACCAGTTTCATTCTGGTATAATTTCACTGACTAGAATACAGCCACACTAGCCTGAAGCTAGAGTAACCAGTGTTGGCATCTTGCATGATTTTATTGTGAGTCTTGCAATAATTGGTATGTTTCTTAAAGTCCAAGCTCCTGGAGTCAGGTGAAGGTATGAGATTAATCTGTGTGCATGGGAGGCTAGGTTAGATATTAGGAAACACTTTTTAACTACAAGGATAGTTAACCTCTGGAACAGGCTTCCAAGGAAGGTTGTGGAATCCCCATCATTGCAGGTGTTTAAGAACAGGTTGGACAAACACCTATCAGCAATGGTCTAGATTTACTTGGTCCTTCCTCAGCTCAGGGGGCTGGACTTGATGACCTCTCAGGGTTCCTTCTGGCCCTACATTTCTATGAATATGTGAGAATCTCAGATTTCAATTTTTTAAAAAAAGTAAATCTCTGACCCAGAATCAGGCCCATATTATATTAGATTCTGACTATGAATTGAAAATTGAAATGCAACATGATTAACTCTATGAAAGTTAATCAGTCCACCACAAAAACAACCAAGCCAAGAAAAAAAACCTATTATAATTGTGTAGTACAAAACAAACTAATCAAAAATTTAAAACAATATGCACTAAAACAATACAGAAAACTGGAATTCATATAGAAATACAGCGGTAATTGAAACATCTTGTCTGAGCTACTAAAATGGCTTCTTGAACAGGGACATTCAAACTCAATATGTATCTCACATTCCAAGGAAATATGAATTGGCTAATAAATCTGCCCATGTAAAATTCCAACAATATTGTATGTTTAGTGTTAGGCACTAAAAGAGATGAGAACAAAGAATGGTGGTGGCTTTGATGTGAAATGAAATATTCATTGGTATCTATGATAACTAGATAAATTGTGACTAGAGCTGAATAAATAGTTCACAATGAATAATTTATCCAAATGTATCCACAGCGTAGGCTTGCAGAGAATCTGTGAGCAGATTAGGCTTAGCTCTGGTTCATGTGTTATGAGAGTTGATTTCTTTTCAAATGGTTTTATTCATATTGTCTGGAGAGCATTTGTGCCAAATATTCAAATTAGGAGCTTTGTAAAACTAGTCAGATAAGTCATGAGGTATTGTTTCTGTGTCTTGACTGGTTGAGAACACAAGAATAGCCATCTTAAATAATATGTATGTGAATTTTAAACTTGGTTGCTATGAACACTTGCAGATGTTCTGCTTTTCTGCAATATTTGCAAACAGACGTCTGGTTTTTACAAATATTCACGCTTCTAAAACCCAAAGGATCAGATATTTGCAGAAAGACAATAAAAAGATACAAACACAAAGTGAAGCATATTCCTTTAAAAATTTGAGTGATTATTCACTGAAAATATTTTTGCAATATTTGCCCAGTCCTAGCTGAAATGTTTTTCTATTTGTGGAATGTAACATCATGGAAAGTGGATATTAATGGGGCAAAATAAACCTGCTCCCTGCAGTGAGAGAGCCAAGAGACAGCAGTGAGCAAATACCCTTGATAATACTCTTTGGAGTTGAGTCCCTGCTGGGATGCAAGGCCATTGTTGGTGCAGGGACCTTCAATTTACACCTTCCTGAGTGAACTTTAGTGAATGTGGCCTAGTATTTCTCAAACCAATTCACAACCCTCATGCCATTTGTTTGGTCCAGCTGCAGGTAAATTGATGTTTAGAAAGGAGTTCAGCTCTGATTGCAAACTCACTTGATGATGGGTTTATACAGTCATTAGTGGACAAAGTAATGTACTTCCTGCAACCAGAAGGAAAGAAGGCAAACAGAAATGGGTTGACTCCTATGGATCTGATCTTAAACCCATTGAAGTCAACAGAAAATAATGTCATTGTCTTCAACGAGCTTTGGATTATGTTCACCTGTGTTGTCCTGGGACATCTGCCCTTTGAGGTATGAAATACCAGGACATCTTTCTGCCCTCCCCCTCTCCCCCCATCCTACCACATACACCCTGGGTACTACCTGCCCATCCCACCCATGGGAGATGGCACAGCCTCCAGGAACTTCTGCTCCTGGGGTTGCCATGGCTACTGACCTCACCAAGCAGGGCACAGCATCGGCTGGATCCACCCTGCTGCCACCTCGCGGTCAACCCCACAGACAGTACCTGCATGGTGGTAGCTGTCCACTCCTGGACCCAAGCTCTTCCTGTCCTGCTTGCGGGTCCCAAGCCAACCCATCCCTGCAGTTCCCAGACACTCTGGAGCCAAAGCTACTCTGTGCAGGCACTGGTGCCCCCTGGCTCCCCCCCCTCCCCCCCATAGCCTCTAGGGCCTGAGGGAGCCTGCAGGGGTGTGACTGACAACAGTGGGACTTTTCATGTCCTGAGAAGACTTATGGATTTCCTGGGACAGCTACCTAAAAAAAGGGATGACCCCAAGAAAACCAGGATAGCTGGTAACCCTAGTTATCATCTCTACGCTATGTTGGGAACTGAAATATTATTCTTAACCAAGAGAGCACCTGCTGAAGTTAAAGAGGCCTGTAAAAGGAAATTAACTTTCTAAAATGTCCCTGAGTGTGAAAAAAAAACACTTTTTGTAGTGTTGAAAAAAATGAACCCATTCCAGTGGGTTTACTGGTTTCTGAAGGAAAGAACATTATTTCACACTCTTTCTAGAAGAGGTTTTTCACTGAGGCATCTCACTGTTACAAAGAGTGTAAGAGTTTTGGGGTTTGCTATAAAAAGCCAGGCATCCTTCGTTGAAATGCAGCATCTTGGACACCTGACAATAATTAGGGTATTTAAAAGCAGGGATAGAGGAATCAGCTCAGAGGCAATAAGAACCAGTCCAGACATATCCCCTCAACTTGTATTCAGCTTTGGATAGTGATTCCTGCCTAACTCTTCCCCTTTTCTTGGCTCAGAAGATATCTGGATCTCCTAACCCAGTGGTCCTCCTGTTGTGAACAATCTTAGAGCCTTAGAGTCAAAAGCAATCTCCAGCATTGCAGTATTTTGGCTCACAAGCGTTGCCATACTTTAGACAGGCACATGTGTCCATACGAGTAGCATCCACTGCATAGTCTCCCCTCTATGTCCTTTGGCCTAAATTAAATACACAGCACCTTCAATGAGCTACCCTTGCTTTTTCTGCAATAACACTGGGTAGTCATGGGGATGAGGGATGTGGAGCAGAGGAGGATCATGTAGGAGAATTGCAGGAAGGTTAAGCACACCATTAAGAACCGAGTTAGGCCACACAAAAATTTAATCGCTGAAGAGATAATCACAGGATCACCTATTATATGGGGATGAGAGAGTAATTTTCACTACTAGGTTTATTTATTTATTTTCCACTTACTAACCAATTCATTTTTGCCACACACAGTAGTTCCACTGGAAGATGAAGCCCGTCCTCTATCTGTGTTTGTTACTTGCTGGGCTTCATGCTGTTGTCCATTGCAATCACAGGCCTGACCACCACAATGGACATGACCACCATAAAGATATAGCTCGTGAGGAACACCATGAGGAACACCATCATGAAGGTGACTGCCTCAAACTAGCTCCCAGCAATGCTGATTTTGCATTTAGACTCTACAAGCAGATTACCTCAGAAGCCCCTAAGAAGAACATTTTCTTCTCTCCTGTTAGCATCTCCACTGCCTTTGCAATGCTGGCCCTAGGTGCTAAATCAGCCACTCTGACTCAGATTCTGGAAGGACTTGCCTTTAATCTGACAGAAGTTCAGGAAGAGGAGATACATCATGGTTTCCATGCTCTCATCCGCATTCTAAACCATCCTGACGGTGAGCTCCAACTCAATATGGGAAACGCCTTGTTCCTAAAAGAAAAACTGAAAACACTAGAGAAGTTTTTAGCTGATGTCAAAAACCTGTATGAAGCAGAAGCTTTTAGTATCAACTTCAAGAATACTGCAGAGGCTCAGAAACAGATCAATGATTATGTAGAGAAGAAAACACATGGGAAAATTGTTGAATTAGTCAAGGGTCTTGATCCGGAGACTGCAATGATTTTGGTTAGCTATATCTTCTTTAAAGGTAAGTAGATATATACAGACAGATGTCTGTTTAATATGTTTTAGATGGCTGAGTATGATCAGTCTTAGAATCTAAGACAAGAAAACTACAGTTCTTTTTTTTACAATCTATAGGGAACTGTACAGATTGTTAGGGGGCTTATTCCTTCACCCACTTACTTCCCTGGTCGTTCTCGCATGAACAGAGAGCAACAATACCCGAAGTCCAAAGGTGCAAACAATTCGATGTTCATTGGGGTGAACTTCCAGCAAGCATGATTCCAGTTTCCTTCCTTAGTATCCTCCTTCCCAGCTCTGACACCACAGAGCCTTACACCTGTGTCCCTGTTCCCATTCCTACCCTTAGCCAAACATGATTCCAACTTCCTTACTCCCATTCCCTGTTCCCATTTCCCCCTTTAGCAAAACATGATTCCAATTTTCTTACCCCCATTCCCTGTTCCCATTTCCCCCTTTAGCAAAACATGATTGCAATTTCCTTACCCCCATTCCCTGTTCCCATCTCCCTTACCCACATGCCCATGCCCATGCCCACCCACACCCAGTCACTTCCTCATTGACTACAGATTATATAGTAAAACTTGAGTTCTGCTTAGCTATACCTTAACCAATCATTTTCCTGAAATTTAACTAACCAATCCTAACATATTGTAACATGATTATGTAACCAATTATATCCCACCACCTTAATTAGTTTACACCCAGCAAAATTAATTATACAGCAGACAGGAACAATCACAGAACCAGACAGAGATTATACAGACAAACAATAGCAAAGTGGGAACTATAATGACAAGACAATACAGAAGTGAGGATTTCACATCCCAGCTATTGATAAGTGAGTTCTTGCCAGACAGGATGCTATCAAACTAAGTTTCCTTTTACATTTTCTAGGCACTTCCCTTTCTCTGGAGGTGATAGGAATACAATCCTGTCCTGATAGTGTCTGACAGCCCAATAGCACCTTATTTCAATGTGACTAGTTTGGAATGTGAGGATGTGACTGTTTGCTTCCCAGCTTATGGCTGCCTCTGCTGCTTAGCCAAAGGCCTTAGCCTAAGAACAGGGCCTCAGACTGTCACAGTAAGAGAAGGCCCTTACACCAGCAGACAGTGATTTTGATTCTTTCTTTTATACCTCTGGAACTAGCCAAGTGATAAGAATACACCTAAATTCTTAAAGTACAGGCCTTTGCAGACAGGCCTGAATATCTATATCCTAACACAGATTGTTAATCTTGTAAACTGACCTATCTTGACAGTTATCAAGTCATTCCATTATGATTTCAAATCAGTGTTGTTGATGTAGAAAGAAATGGGTGGAAAACCAAATGCCCACATCCCTGTTCACCTAGCTGTGAAAAGTGGCTGTAGGTTCACTCCGCTATCAGAGGGAACATAAACCCCACCCTGTAGCATAAGGCACACAGAAAACTTGCATCATCATTGAATTTTGGGGCAAAGGGAGGCCCATATCATTCCCCCACAGGTGCATCATTCATCTGGAACTAGAGTGTTCTTTAGAGAGAGTTAGTAATAAGTACAATGTTGCAACCCTCACCTCCCCCCATTTTTGCTTGTAAGCATTAAGGGATGAGCCAACTACCTGATCCTTCTTATCTGTCTCTTTCAAAGGTTGGCCAATCTACTGCAGACAAATATTCAAGGGTGGCCAATCTAGTGCAGACAAATATTTTTCAGACATGCTTCATGCCTTGTCAGCATTAACATTGATGCTGCTACAATATGGCATTGTACAATGGAACTAGTCAGTGTAAGCAGAGTAAAGTGAGTTTTAATGCCCATTATGGGCCTGATCCAAAGCCCACTGAAGTCAATAGGAGTCTTTCCATTGAAGTCAATGAGTTTTGGATCAGGTCCTCTGACCACAACACAGCTAAAGTGGGCTTCAAATGTAAAGTGTTGCATTTACCTTGCAGTGAAACTACGTGTGCTCTCCGCAACAGAATGTGAGCCTGTGCCATCTGAATTCAAATCCATGTTATTCAAGTGGGTTCAAAAGAAAGTAAACCAGGTCCCAAGTCTAGGGAAAAAATGAGCAAGTTAAAACACAATTGGTTTTCCCGACAGGACATAATTTGGCCCCAAAACCCACGCAAATAGAGTAATTTTTCGTCCCTCAAAACTACAGGTTTAAAAACATTTAACCAGTCATTCAAAGTTATATGTCTGGGCAATACAGAGATGCCCCTGCATTATTCTAATAAAGGAATAACAATAGTCTTGTGATTAGCACACAGGATTAGGAGTCCGAGTCCAGTTCCCATGGTTTTTAACCTCTCTGTGCCTCCCTGTCTATGAAATAGGGATGATAATACTTCCCTATCTCAGTGGGGAATTGTTAAGGCTCTACCAAATTCACAACTATGAAAAATGCAGCACGGACCATGAAATCAGGTCTCCCCCCGTGAAATCGGGTCTTTTCTGTGCTTTTACCCGCTACTATACAGATTTCACGGGGGAGACCAGAGTTTCTCAAATTGGGGGTCCTGACCCAAAAGGAAGTTGCAGGGAGGTCGCTAGATTATTTTTGTGGGGTCATGGTATTGCCACCCTTCCTTCTGCACTGCTGCCTTCAGAGCTGGGCGGCCAGAGAGCGGCAGCTGTTGGCTGGGCACCAAGCTCTGAAGGCAGCACCCCGCCAGCAGCAGCGCAGGAGTAAGGGTGGCAATACCGTCCCACGCCACCCTTCCTTCTGCGCTGCTGCCTTCAGAGCTGGGCCCTCAGTCAGCAGCTGCCGCCCTCCGACCGCCCAGCTCTGCAGGCAGCAGCACAGAAGGAAGGGCGGCAATACCATACCTTGCCATCCTTACTCCTGCACTGCTGCTGGCAACGGCTCTGCCTTCAGAGCTGGGCCCTCAGACAGCAGCTGCTGCTCTCCGACCACCCAGCTCTGCAGGCAGCAGCACAGAAGGAAGGGCGGCAATACCATACCTTGCCATCCTTACTCCTGCGCTGCTGCTGGCAACGGCTCTGCCTTCAGAGCTGGGCAGTTGGAGTACCACAAGCAGCAACGCAGAAGCAAGGGTAGCAGTACTGCAACCCTCCCTACAATAACCTTGCAATCCCCACACACACACGCAATTCCTTTTTGGGTCAGGACCTCTACAATTACAACACCATGAAATCTCAGATTTAAATAGTTGAAATCATGAAATTTACAATTTTTTTAAATCCCATGACTGTGAAATTGACCAAAATGGACTGTGAATTTGGTAGGGCTCTAGGCTTTGTAAGGCTTATTGTAATTCTTTAATGTTTCTGGGGTGTTGCACTATGATTAGGCATTTCTGTGGCCTACAAATAAATACATGTTGCAAAACCAATAATCCCTTATAAATAAAAATTAGCTTTTGAATTACATACACACATAACCTTACATGGTTCACCTGGACTATATGTGTAATTCCTCTTTTCCAGAATATTCAACCCCATTCTCTTTCCTTCTGTTAGGCAAGTGGGAAAAACCTTTTATGCCAGAAGACACTAAAGAAAGAGACTTCTTCGTGGATGAGGAAACAATCGTTAAAGTCCCTATGATGCGCAGAATGGGCATGTTTGTCCACCACTTCGATGTGGAGCTGTCTTGCACAGTGGTCCAACTTTATTACAATGGAAGTGCTACAGCATTTTTTATTCTGCCTAATAAAGGAAAAATTAAGCAGGTAGAAGATGCTCTGCGGAAAGAAATTGTGTCCAGATGGGCAACCTCACTTCATCGAAGGTAATCTTTTGGCAATCAGGTACCATTTCAAAGTATTATGGAGTCGCCAATTCAAGTATGGGGGCCTGGCACGTCTGAAGTGCTGATGTACTTTGAAAAGTGAAACTTTGAAAATGACACTGTGGGGTTTATATCTCTCAGTGACTCCTAATCAGACCTGCTCAGTTTAACAATTTTTTCTCCTAATTGCCAACCCTGCAAACTCACCCTTTGCTTTTAGAGTCAAGTTGGGTTCTTTTTTCGCTCAGGCATTCCCATCAATAAAGATCTTGCAATTGGAATGTATTTAATCATTCTTCCAGTGGTGCATGGGCTGGAATAGAATTCAGCTTTCTTTCTTAGAACTGCCTCAGTTCTGCAGGGCTGTCAGGAATAAAAAGTAGTAAAAGTGTGTTTGAGTCACTAATGTAATCAGTTTGCTTGATCAAGAAGATGCAATTTCCAGTCATTTTTCAGGATAGAATTGCATTTTGAAATATCTTGACAAATTGCCAGTGGTATTAACACCTTTCATAAACCAGAATCACAACTAACAGAGAATTCAATCACATGGTTGTAGACCGCAAGAACCTTATTCTCTGAATCAAGTGAAGAAAATTATGACTTAAACTCTTTCACCTAGAAGACAAAGGGAAATGACAGGCTCAAAATGTATTACTTATTCATTTTCTAAATCTGAAGAATACAAGAAAAACTTGCTTTTGACCTGGAATCAACACCAGCTACGATTTTCCACTGCTGCAACTTGCTGGCAAGTGAAGAGACGCTAGAACCGTTAGAGAAGTTGCATTAGTCAAGTCAGCCTACTTCTGAGTTCCCCATTGATTCACTGTTAATAATCAAGATAAGCCTATTTGCACCCAGGGTTCTCACTACATCTGCCTGAACTCTCTTTTTACAAAGTCTTGTGTTTGCTAAAATAGCTGCAGTTTTGTAAAGCATTTGGTGCGACCTCTAATAAAATCATACTAGATAAATTAGTTCACATTGGTTTGAATATGGGCATGGGTTGAAGGAGTGTAATCAAAATGTGCTGATAAAGAGCAATATGGGCCTGATCCAAAGCCTACTGAAGTTAATTGGAATCTCTCAATATGTGTCAGTGGGCTTTGGATCAGGTCCAAAGTCAAGCTGGGCCAGGAGTCCATTGAGGCAGAGATCAGTGTTAGTCCTGGTCATATTTAACAAGTAGGTTAACAATCTGGAAGAGGATGGAAGAAACACACTAATTTGGTTTGCTTGTGCTAATTAGCTAGATGATACTAAAGGGGGAGGTGCTGCAGAAGTTACTGAGGATACTGAAATATAAAGCGTCACAGTGGAGTTAGAGATATCGGGCAGTAAATTGGATAGCAGCTGGCAATGTGATACTCACAAAAAAAAGTTCATGCAATTCTCAGCAGCATATTCTGGAGCATCCTGGGCTAAATTCATCATTGGTGTAAGTCCACTGAAGAGCAACAAAAAATATGAGAGACCACTTGAACTAAATGGCCAATTTTAGACCTGGTGTAATATCACCAAAGCCAGAGGTGTTACATCAGAGATGAGTTCGACCCATTATCTGCATCACCATTTGAAAGCTCTGGAAAGCAGAGGGACAGTTAGTACTGTACACAAAGGAGTGTGCCTACTCCCGGGGGTTTTCTTGTAACAGTCACAGAAGCTAAATAGGTCAGAGTACAGTGTATGAGCTAAGTGAAATATTTTAGCATCTTGTTGTGTTTCTTCTTTTGACAGCTCTGCAATCCTGTACATTCCAAAATTTTCAATCTCTGCTACCTATGATTTAAAGGACCATCTCACCAAAATGGGCATTACTGATGTGTTCACCAAACAAGCTGATCTGTCTGGAATCACTGGGGAGCCTGAGCTGCAGGTTTCAAGAGTAAGTTTGCAAATGTGGGGGTTCTCTTTTCCTTTTCAAAATGCCATGTTAAAATGTACCTTGCTTAGCAGAGCGTCTGATTGTCAGTCACAATGGGACAGATCCATCCCTGGCTTAACTCTGCTCAGATCCGGGGGTTTACACCAGGGATGAATTTGGCCGAATGTCAACCTGGATTTCAGCTTAGCCCATTGCACTCTAAGGTGCATCTTCTGCAATAGCCCTTTAACCCTTTTTGAACCAGTACTGAGCAACTGGATGTTCCAGAGCATATCAGGGTAGGTTCCCCTCCAGAAGAATGAGATGGTGAGCAGGCAGCCTGATTCTCAACAGAAGCTGCCAAAGGTACTTGGAAGATGCTGCCCAGCCTCCTGCCCCAGGAAAGCAGGACTGGATTGCAGGCTGGCCACCCCAGTGAGTCTGGAGGAGGTGCAGGCAGTGGATAGGAAACTAAAGGGTATCCCATTCCTCACAAGATGGCAACTCAAGGTGGGGATATCATGAAGGGGTGGGTCGTAGAGGAGGAAGAGAAGATCTCAGGGTTAAGGGAAACACTTCAGATAAGCATCTATGTTTTTGGACTGATTTCTGGAATTTAACTGGATGTCATTTATATTAGCTGTTTAGATGCGTTTGCCCAAATACTTTCAGTCATTTCCTTTCCCCCAGGCATAAAGAGACTAATGAAAGCAATTTAGATGCTTCTCCCATATTTATTGGTCTTAGAGGACACAAGAGGTACTTATGCCTTGTGCTGGTCCTCTGCAAACAGGTGAATTTCAGCCATAATCCCTCAGAAACCAGTTCTCCATCCCTTCAGAGATCTTGGAGATCTGCAATTGAGACTGTTTTTTGTAGACTGAAAGAAAAATCTCCTTCATAGAGGGGAGGGTCAAACAGATCCATCATGTCCAGTTTTGGGCACCACACTCCACACAAGAAACATGTGGACAAACTGGAGTCCAGAGGAGAACAACGACAATGAAAAGAAGTATAGAAAACCTGAAAGTATTGGACATGTTTAGTCTCGAGAAGACGGCGGGGGACATGATGATAGTCTTCAAATATGTAAAAATGTGTTATAACTATAAGGAGGTATAGACTTATAACCAAAAAATTTTCGTTGATCAATTGTTTTTCATGTCTACCGAGGGTACACCAAGAAGTAATCAGCTTAGTTTGCAGCAAGGGAGATTTAGGTTAGATATTAGGAAAAACTTTCTAACTATAAAGACGGTTAAGCACTGGAACAGGTTACCTAGGAAGGTTGAGGAATACCCATCATTGGTGTCTTTTAAGAACATGTTGGTGAACATATATCAGGCATGCTCTAGGTATGCTTAATCCTGCCTCAGCGCAGGGGGTGAACTAGACGACCTCTTGAGGTCTCTTCCAGCCCTGAATTTCTATGATCTGATGATCTTGTTTCTCAGATATGCAACAATTGCTAGAATAAGAAAATGTCCTCTCTTTCTGTAGTGTCCATTCAGTCCTGTCCATCTGCCCACTCTTCCCCAGGAGACTTTCTAAACAGCTCTAAAAGCCATCAGGTTCATCTTTACTTACAAGCTACTGTTCTCTGCTCAGAATGGCAATATGTGCTTTATCTCCCACAGGTTGTCCATAAGGCCGTGCTGAACATCGATGAGAGAGGCACAGAGGCGGCAGCAGCCACTGCCATTGAAATAATGCCAATGTCTTTTCCTCACATCATTGAATTCAACTCTCCCTTCCTGGTGCTGATTTTTGATAGAGCTACCAACAGCACACTCTTCATTGGAAAGATGAATAACCCTGCTGAGCCTTAAGTGTTATCAATTCAGATGGCTATTCCTAAATAAAGAAGCTTTGCCACCTGAATTAACTGGTTAGAAGTATACTTGCTTCCTTAGTGAATACTTTCGCGCAACATCAGAACCAGTAGCAACTAGTGCTGAAAAAGATAAATTGGGCTTATGCAGCATCGTTATCTGATGTGGGCAGAAAAAGTATTTTTTTAATTAGGACAGCAAACAAAAAACATTTCTGACAGCTGAGAATGAAGAGACTTTAGTAAGATTTCCAGATTCTCCAGCACACAGTCATAGTGATTTGCATCACAATAGAAACTTCTTGTTTAATTTCTGGCTGTCAGCTAATGTTCTCTGGATGAAATGATGAACAATTTTGCTAACAGAGGAGAAGTGGTGTCATTCTGTCATAGCTGGAGACATAGCACTGTTCTGGGAAGTAAAGAGAGCTGGAGGTTGGGAAAGGAAGGAGAGAAGAAAAGGGGAGTAGGAGGCTAGCCTTTTACTAGGGTCACCATTGGGGATTGGCAAACCTTTTTTAAAAGTACATAAGAAACTTTTCCCTCCCACCTCAAGCTTTTGCCCATTAGTAGAACTGAGTGGGTACCAAATCTTCCTTTAGGGTCTGAAATGAGCGTGCAGCTCCACGTGGAACTGGAAGTGCTAATACTACACCATGAAAAAGGTTGTTCCCACAAGATGTAAATTCAGCAAGCCTGGATAGTTTGGGTGTGTATTTGAACTTCAGCTCTGTTAAGGGTGCACCCATCTCATGAGTCAGTGCAGGGGTATAGCTGGTTGAGCATGGAGTATGTTTTGGCTGGTAATTATGCAGGCACTGGGGAGTCCTCATCTTTCACTGGCAGACCCGTAGAAAAGATATATCTGGAGATACAGCACAGTTCAGCTGTTTCAATCATTCCTTTTAAAGCAGTTGAGGAATGAATATACACAATGGACCAGATCCTCATAACCAGATATGCAGTGCCGGATTCCACCCTAGTTCCAAGACAGAACTTAATGCAGATTTAGGGATGTTCTAAATTGTGGTGGCTAATAACCTCCAAAGGGCTGCTCTGGCAACCAAATATCAGACAGGTGTAGCAGCCACACACTCACTTTCTTTCTCCTACCATAACCCCAACAATGAGGTGGTCTCAGAGGGGGTAGAGTAGGAATCATCCTGGCAATTCCACACCCTGAGGGATCACCCCATGTTGGAGGAACTCCCAATTTGCAAGGCAGTCTCAATAAGGGAAAGGATATAGAGCGTGAGTTTTTAGAGGAGGGAAACATGAAGATGACATCAATCTGGAGCATAGATTCGAAGGCCAGAAGGAACCATTTTGATCATCTAGTCCAGGGGTCTCAAACTCAAATGACCATGACAGCCACATGAGGACTAGTACATTGGCCAGAGGGATGCACCACTGACTCCCCCTGCCCCCGCCCCCATTCCACCCCTTCCGTGAGGCCCCACCCCTGCCCCGCCTCTTCCCACCCCTTCCCTGAAATCCCCACCCCAACTCTGCCCCCTCCCTACCCCCAGGGGGTGCAGAAGGGGTGCAGGGTGTGTCAGGGGGCTCAGGGTCGGGGTTGGGGTGCAGGAGGGGTGCAGCAGGGGGCTCAGGGTAGGGGGTCGAGGTGCAGGGTGCAGCAGGGGACTTAGGGCAGGGGGTTTGGCTGCAGGAGGGGGTTTGGGGGGTGGGTCTGGCCCAGCGCGCACCAATGGCAGGAGAGGCTCCCTGCCTGCCCGCCCTGCCCCCATGCCACTCCAGGAAGCGGACAAGACCTGCGGGGGGGGGGGCGGGGGCACAGGGGTTTGTGTGTTGCCTGTCCGTTCCTCCAGGTACCTCCCCCGAAGCTCCCATTGGCTGGGAACGGGGAACCGCGGCCAATGGGAGCTTCGGGGGAGGTACCTGGAGGCGCGGCCAGGGCAATACACAGACCCCTGTGCCGCACCCCCTCCCCCCCAGGTCCTGGCCACTTCCCGGAGCGGTGCGGGGGCAGGGCAGGCAGGCAGGGAGGAATCCTGCCCTGCCCCCGGTGCGCGCCGGGCCGGAGCCGCTCTAGGTAAATGCTGGGGGGGGCAGGGGGTCGTGGGGAGCTGGCGGGCTGCAGAAAATAACCCCATGGGCCTCATGCAGCCTGCGGGCAGCATGTTTGAGACCCCTGATCTAGTCTGACCCCCTGTATAACTCAGGCCACAGAACTTTCCCAGAATGATTTCTAGAGCAGATCTTTCAGAAAAACATCCAATCTCGATTTTAAAATAGCCAGTGATAGAGAATCCACCAATGGTTAATTACTCTTATTGTTAAAAATTTGACTTATTTTCAGTCTGAATTTGTCTAGCGTCAACTTTTCAAGCCATTAGCCCATGCTATATCTTTCTCTGCTAAACCAAAGTGTGTTCCCCGTGTAGATACTTATAGACTGTAATCAACTCACCACCGAAGTTCTCTTTATTAAGCTAAATAGATTGAGCACATTGAATCTATCAGTATGAGGCCTGTTTTCTAATCTTTTAAACATTCTGGTGGGCCTTCTCTGACCCCTCTCCAAGTTATCAACATCCTTCTTGAACTGTGGGCACCAGAGCCAGACACAGTATTCCAGCCACAGTTGCACCAGTGCCAGATTTAGAGGTAAAATAACCTTTCTACCCCTAACTGAGATTCCTCTGTTTATGGATGTGAAACAGAGAGTAAAAGCACTGCCTCCACTTTCCCAGTTCAAAGGAACAGGAAAATATGTTTGTAAGTCTAGGCAAATTGGACACCAACAAACATTTCAGCTTTAAGTTCCCAACAGGAAAGCTAACTGAGAAACAGCTGTTAAATGTCACTTTTCCAGGTTGACACTATTTCTCTTAACTATAGGTGTGTAACCTACAGATAGACAAAAAATATGAACATCCCTAACTAGGATTCTTGCCAGCAACACCTACAATGAATGCACATATGCTATGCAGTCTTGTTGTCTCTTTCTCGCACTCACACCCATCTGTTTGAATGGCACCCTGGCTAGGATCATTTGCATTAGGGCATACACAGCAACCATTTGTAAAGCAGCCCACATGATGCTGCAAGCACCATATCTTTTTGAAAGAAACCTCTACTGCGTAGCACTGATATCACCAGTCTCTTCCTGTTTCATCTCAGCTATTGATATTTCATTGCTAAAAACCTGGCCACAAAAAAAGACAACAGACAGAGACACAGGACTTATTTGTTCACTTACACAGGTGCACCTCAGTTGGGCCAGATCTTCAGCCAGGTAGTTCAGCAGAGCCCAATAGCCTTCAATGGAGCTACATCAATTTGCACCAGCTGAGAATCTGGCTCAGTGGATTTCAATGGAGTGACTTTTGTTTTCTCCAGGGCACGTGAGAAGAAAATCAGGCCCAAAGCTCTCTTCCATCCACAAAATCACAGCTCTCTAATAATTTTAAGCCCAATTCAAGGGTGGGATCCAGAACTTCTGGAGCATTTAATGGGTTTTCTTGCTTGCTCCATGAGAATGAATCTAGATTTCTATATGGATGGGAACAGATGATTGTTGTAAAAGAACAGCAAGGAAAAAAAAATATATAAACATCCTAGCAAACCCTATCTGTATGCATGTAATAAGTGGGGGCAGAGGGCTGAGATGTGTGAGGAACAGTCCATGAGGGGAATAGGCCCTTGTGAGTAGGGCTTGGGATGTATAAACTTTCAGTTTTCTTTATCTTATATGGGATTTACATGAACAAGGTCAAAAGCAGCTTTCTGTCTCTAGGTTAAAAGTTACTTTTAGTAAAATGTGACCCTTCACCTAGTTAATCCATAATGAGTTAGTTCTCAGCTCCTGGTTGGGAGAGGGATGAAGTGATGGTTGCAGGGAAGATGTGATTTCTTATTTTAGAAATGCTGAGAGGATGTATGGGAATGGAAATGTGTCAGATGTGCAAGTGTGGATGAGGTATAGTGAGTGTTCATTGGGCTATTAAGTATAGCCATGAACGTGTCAAGGCCTAACAGACTTGGTGCTATCTGCACCTTCCAACTGTTATCTCGAAGAAAGGGCTGAGACCGCTTCCATGGGATTATCTCCTTTTGATCCCACTCTTTTTATATGTTTTGGAGCACACATCGCTTGCAGTGATGGCTATCGTAAAAACCTTCAGTTCAAGGAGGACTTTCCAAACTGACGTAGGGTCAAGCTTACCCAACCTCAATCAGGACTGGATCATGTTGTTGGGATCCAAGACACATGATGCCCCGATTTGCTCAAAAGACCTCCACTTGGTCTTCTTTCTAAATTAACCCCTTTGTGCCTCACAAAGGTTTCAAAGGCGTTGGAAGGAGAGGCTAATTTGCGGCTTCCAAACTGTGACACCAGAGAACAAAATGAAAAAGGGGGAATGCCACCACATCAGTCAATTTCCTGCCAATGTCAAGATCACAGAGTCCTGAGAATGAAGTTGCCAGACTTGCTTTATCAGGCAACAGCTCCTGGAAGAGGTGCTGACTTCCCGAGGGATGCTCGATCCCCACTCTGCTGCAGTCCCCGCCCCCACTCCATCCCTTCCCCCAGAACCCCCACCCTGCTCCGCCTCTTCCCACCCCATTCTGCCCCCTCCTCCTGCCTCTTCCTGCCCCCACTCCTCCTCCTCCTTCCCAGTGCCTCCTGAAGGTAGCTGAACAGCTGATCGCAGCAGGGAGGAGGCACTGGGAGGGAGGGGGAGGAGCTGATTGGCAGGCCTGCTGGCGGGCGGGAGGGTTGCGGGGCAGGAGCTGATCTGTGGGGCTGACATGGGTACTGAGCACCCACTATTTTTTTTCTGTGGGTGCTCCAGCCCCAGAGCACCCACGGAGTCACCAACTATAGCTCCTGGTTTATTGACAGCTCACTGTTACTTTCCATTGCATTCTTCATGAGAGCCAGAGTGGAAGTGCACACAGGCACCACGCTTAGCAGAAAAGAGCAATAGATCTCTCTCTTGCTGCCTATGTCCATACTGTGCTGCATAAACTCTCTCTCTCTCTTTTCTTTGTTCCCCACCCTTTACTCCTTCTCTCC